TGTTATCCCTTTAGATCACTCGAGGTCACTCTGGTGCCTAATATGTCTTCTATCCTATGATTCCCTCTTCCCCCTATTCTACCCCACCCCCTCAACTTCCTTTTCCCCCATGACCAACTCTCTTCCTCTTCACCCCCTCTCTTTTAATTTATTTTTATGAGAATTGCTTTCTTTAGTAATTTCTCTTTCCTACAATATAGTAAAGTTTTAAAAACATATTTTACCAAAGGAAATAACTATTGTTAGTATACCTGATATCAAGTTTAAATCTTCAGGGTAACTAAGAGATTTTCAGCTGAAAAAAAATGACAAGCACAATTGTGATATTTCCTATATTTAAAACAACACTTAGATTTGGTCTTCTAGCAGGGTTATATGAAAGGGAAATACAACGGATTTCCAGAATTATAGTCCAGAGACAGGGATGCCCTATCATATGTTACATAGGACAGATTTTCAAGGAGAAAATTAGAATGACTATCAGTGAAAATCTTCTTCCGTCAAGGTTCAGGAAACTCATATCTCTTGAGACACAGGCAGATGAAAGGAGTCATTACTGTATGGTTCATTTATATTTTTTTCTCATCGCCCTGAGTACTTGGATCTCATAGTTTTGGCATGCTGAATAGTCCTTCATCCATAAAGATAATAAAAATGAAATTTCATAAAATAGCTTCAGTTATAAATGGAAGTAGAATGCTCAAAAAACTTAGCTCTGTGGGCAAAAATGTGCTAGCTAGAGGTCACCCCCTGAACTATTTAGTTCTTAGCTTAGAATAATTTTATTATAAGAAGGATTTGTAAAAAGCATCCATATCAGGACTTCCAACAATAAATATTCTAAGAATATTTGATTTATTTAACTAACGATAGTTATAGTAGACATTATATCTGCCTGAATACTTATTGAATGACTGAGATTGAATTAATTTGCATATAATTTATCACATTAATGTTATCTTAAGTATGACTGCATTACATCTTGTCAGGTATGACTTTCTTTTCTCTAAAAACAGCACATGTCATTATTACACACTATTCTTAGACAGAAAAATATGAGTTAAGTTATTAAGTTACTAAAATATATAGTTGCTATTGATAAAATAATAAATTAGTGCTCACAAATCACTTGAACCTATTTTGCATGTTGAAACAATAAAATTATAAATACTTTGCTCCATTTCTTTCTTAGTTCCTATTTTTCCTTAAAGATATTTAGTGATAAGATTCTGAAAAATGATCATTTTTAATACTCTAGCTCCATGACAAGGGATTTTTCTGAAATATTAGCAATGCTTATTTCTTGAGCTTTTGTAATAGTGTCTCCACTATGATCTGTCAAGGCAGGTTTTATAATAGTCATTGAGTTTATAATACTTATGCCTCTAGTGATATTATTGCTATTTTAAAGCCACAATTAATGAAGTGAAAATAGAAAATTAAATAACGTATATCAATAAGAGTTTGTAAATTTAACTAAAAACAATAGTTCTACCTTTGAAATAATTTTAAATATGGAAAAACAAACTCTACAATGAATCCCATCTGTGTTGTTTACTTATCATATTTATACTTAAGTAGGAAATGAATGTATGATATGTAATCTTTGCTTTTTGTACATACAAAATTTGCTCTCATTGTGAAAAAAGAAAATAAAAATAGCTTTCTAGAAAGTGTATGATATGAGGTGTTTTACCAATATAGATTAGTTAGTCTTCATCAAATTCAGGGAGAATTATTTTCTCATTCCCATTTGACAGATGAGGCATTTCTAACAAGGAAGATAATTGCTCTAAATATCATAGACCTATTAAGTAGGGAAATAAGAATTTCAGTCCGTGTTTATTTGAGGGGAAATTTCACATGCATTAGGTCCTAATAGACCAAAGTTTATTCCTTTCATTTACAAAGGCAAAGATTTCAAATTTTCTATAATTAAAATTCTGGGATATGACTGGAGATCCCTTCTCAGTTAGCTCTTTGTCACTGGGTTTCATCAAAACAGTGATTGTTTACTTGATGTGTATTTCAAACTTGATTGTGGTGGTTAAAATAGAAAAAAAGGGCTTCATGATTTCTTTAAGCTCTAAATTTTCAATTAACAAGAATGTTATATACATTAAAAGGAGCAGCAATTCTCTGTGATGACATATTTTTTGCTATACTAATCCCTTGGCATGGGATTAAGGACAGTTTCCTTATGTTGACCTTATGTGGGTGGACATTATTCAATTTGAGTCACAGTGGGGCAATTAGAAGCTCCAATTTTGAACTGAAAAAATGTAGTCAATCAAAGATATCTGACACTAGCTCACACAGATGCTCTGCCTTCCTGTGACTCATTCTTTGAAGATCAGAATGATACAAATTCTTTTTTGATATAGTAATTGGGGTACAGTCATACTATAACTCATGTATTTCCTATTATATTTTCTGCTTTGCTTCAATACTCCTTGATTTCAACTCAAGTTTCAAAATGTCCATGGAGTTTCAAAAATTAAAGAGGATATGTTATTAACAGGATAAATTTTGAAGGAAAGGTATAAGCTGGTAATTCTAAGGAAAAATAACACTCTCATAAAAGTATTATGGTAAAAAGAACCTTCAATCCTTTTGAAAAAATGATGACAATAATGTTTTGCTGGATTGACATAGCACTCTTGTTCCCTAAACAGAATTGAGCATGGTAAAACTAAAGATTTCCATCAAGTTTCTGTCTCCCTGATAAAGCTGTAGCTGATGTTATGGAACTTGTAGAGCCCATGGGAGTAATTCTCACACAAGATTGTTAAGCTCTTAACTGTGTGTTTTTTTATTTCACAATCTTTGCTATCTTAGAGTTATTGAGACCAGCTCAACTTGTTTCTAGGCTATAATCTTTGACAGCCAGTGAGAAAGATAAGATTTGTCCAAGCTAAAGAATGTACACAAAGAAAATAATAAACAAAACATTGATATTTTCCTATTAGCATCCATGGAAACCACAAAAAATATTGTAGACAATATAAGTAGTACTAATGATTACTGGAATACTCCACCTTTAATATGTTAACAACTCTCTACATAGCTTCTGAGTAAGAAAAGTTATTAGCCCTTTTATAAATAATCTGGAGGACACAAAAGGTCAAGTTATTTGATTCGTTATATATAAATGATTAACCAGCCTCACATCCTTCAATTCACTCTATGTCCTAGAGTGGCACATTTGTCACTAGCCTGGAATAAAGTGAGGTATGAATACTACTCTTTTATGTAATTCCTCTAGGCAGTAGTAAAAGCAACTGTCCCTAACAAGGGAAAAATGAGATCTCTTTGTAGACTGAGGATCCCCTCGATATGAGAACCAGAAGAGCAACATTCATACCACAAGCACACTACTGGCAAAGAGTAAAGATAAATTTTATTATGACATTTTCATATATAATTGATACAAACCGATTTTCACAAATTTTATTGATTTATTCTTGTGCTAAATATTTATACTTTAATACGTGAAAACAATTATGTCTTGAGTATTTACCTTTGGAAAATCTGTCATGCACTCAAATCAGTTTTCAAATATAAGGTGTGAAAATGTCTCTACAGAAAGGGACTTTGGGAGCAGTAGAAAGGCCTCCAAGATATGCAATCAAATCCTATCACTTATTTACTGTGTGGTGCTCAGCAAATTACTTAGCTTCCCTGATGTATTTTTAAGATAAAATTAATCATTCCCTTGTGCCCTTAGCTAAATAATGTCTAAGGAAAGGCATTCACTAAGTAGTAGGTACCATTATACCATTTAATTATGACCTGAAAGCTTTCTTTCACCACCTAGATTACATAAAATTTTCACAAATACAAGATTTTCAAGGAGTAATAAGTAGATTCAATTGCCAAAGACTTCTTCATGACTCATCCTTTTTCTCTTGGTAAATAAAAATTAACTTAAAAGTAATTAAATATTTTGTGAAAATCTAAAATTTGAGAAAAAACAATTTAGTTTTATGACCAATGACCTTGAAAACTTTTTGTATCATGAACGAGCCCTTCCCAGATTATTAACTAGTAAAGAATTTTTTCCTATTCTACTTAAGGGCAGAAGGAATGCCAAATTCTTAATTGATAAAATACTAGATGGTATATAATATGTATTCTATAATGACTTTAATAATCTGTTGTACCTGCATGCCAAAATAATGGCTAAATAGCAATAAAGGCCAAGACAGAATAAAAGTGATAGCACACTGTCTAGGGCCAAGATTTAGCATTATAATATGTAGGCCTGCTGTTGTTAATAATTGGCAATTGTTTATCCTGAATGTGTGATACACAGCATATCTGAGAATCATCAGAGTATGGGAAGTACTCCTACAGAGACAAGATTATGTTCACTACAACATTTGGAGAAATAAGGAGAGGTAGCTTAAAAATAGTGCACATTTGAATTCATGTACTTTATAAAAGGCATCAACTCTGTTTTTCAAATAACCATCAATAGTACTAAAGTTTATTTAACATTTCTCATTTACATATATATTTCCTTTTGTAGACTAAAATTTCTTTCAGTTTGCTATTGTACCTAAATACTACACGAACATCTAGGACTCCAATTCTCAGTTTTAAATTACTTCTCAAGCAGAAGAAACATAAAGAACACAGATATTAGTTCTATTTTCTTGTTATGTTTAATTTATTTAAGTAGAAAAATATGTTATTTTAAATGATTCATTTTGGTGAACTGAATACCACTCACCAACATTAGTAGCAATATTAATTGCAGTTTATCAGACTTCTCTCTCCATTGTTGTATAAAACAGAACTCTCTGTTGTTATTGCAGTTAAATATAGCTAAGCCTCAGAACAGTTTCAAAAGTTGAATAAATTTGGGCATTTATATAATCTGATATTTACTGTCCAACTCTGGCCTTTTGAGATATCTCAGTACTTGAAACAAAAAAAAATCTTCCTTCTATTGAATCTTTTCAACATTTATAGCAAAGGACAAACAATTCACCTACCTTGATAAAATCCATGGTAGCTTCCTGAATTCTTCGAATTTAAAATAAAATGCCAACTCACTTTGTTAGCCATTACCAGTTCTAAATCGCACTATGATATGCAATGCAAATTTGAGCTCTTAATTAGCAGGATCTGGTTTGTTCAAATGTACCACATTGGAGGAATTTCTCAACATATTGCAGCTGTTACCTGTGGAGGAAACAGATTTTCCATCAGTGAGAGAAGACTCACCAGTACACTTGCTGTTGTGGCCTGATCCTTTGGTGTTTCTTTAAACACTATTTCATAGTAGTTTTACAATGAATATGACAAATTTACCATTGCTGTCCACTCAATTTCTGCCTCTAGGTTGTTTTCAGAAGAGAAGAGGATAAAAGCATTGAGGCAATGGAGAATATGGATAGAGTAAGAGCTCTTTATGAATGTTGCATGAAGAAACAAGGTCATGAAATAAGTTTACATACACACATCTATTCAAATATGTAAATACTGCACATTCATCTCTGTTAAACTTGTGTTCAACTAACATTAGCATTTACATGAACATAAACTAAAGGCAACTTCATGAAATGACAAAAATGAAAGCAAAAAACAGAAATGGATAACTACATAGATATTATAAGAGGTAGGATATTTTTGAAAAATAGTATCATGAATCCTTTGCCCACCATTTGTTTGTTTGCCAAAATGTGGGGCCTTAAACATTTTACTGTAGAAATTCAGGTGTTCAACATAACTCTGATTTCAAAGCTGTTGCTAGTTTCAACTTAAAGAATTTATCCTTTTTAATCAAAAGCATTTCTGGATTGTGGCTAGAGTCATTGAGATTTGAATAAAAGAACTGAGCAGAGCACAGTTCTCAAGAAATGGGTCTGAAAATCTTTCTGGAATTATGGCAAAAATAGTTTGTTAGAAATTCCGAGGGAAAGCTTCATATTTATAATTTGTACTTATTTACCTAAAACCATTTCCCATGTAAACAGAAAGTCACGAGAGACATTTTTTTTCTTAGCCAAGCACCTACAAAACAGCAGTCAGAGGAAGGAAGCAAAATCAAAATTTCTTATTTCTAAATCAAGCATTTGAAAGGTGTGCAATAGCAGAACTAACTCTTATCTGTCCCCTCTCCTAGCTCCTTTTACTTTTTTAGCTAAATTATCAATCTGCACGAAACTGGTTTGAACATTAGCTCTTCCTCAGGACTTCCTACTTTCTTGCACAAACATTAATCTTTGGATACAAGAGATTTAGATTATATAAGGGTGAGATCTGCAACCTTTAGATTTTGTCAGTAAGATACTAAAGTCTCCTAAGTATAGTAGAGACAAGTGGGCACTAAAGAAGACTCTTCTTATTCATTTTCCCTTTTCTATCTCCCTAGTGTTCCTCTGCCTCTTCACTCTTCATAGTCCCCTCAGTGCAGCCTAAATCATGTAATCTCCACTCCCTCCTTAAAGACTCCCATCCACCCCCACCCACCCCACAACCAATGTCCCCTCCTGGTCACCTCAAAAGCCTGGAGAAATGGAATGCACACAAAGCCTCTCTTATCGGGCTTGAGCTTGAAACTGGGCATGCTCAGTAGCCAAAGTGATTTTTTTCTCCCTCCTGTTTTCTTTGTGTGTGCGTGTGTGTGCGTGTGCGTGCGTGCGTGTGTTGTGTGTGCACGTGTGTGTGTGTTTCTTTTTCCTGCCCCCTTTTAGTTTCAAGTACAGCATCTCTCCCTGTCCCATGGCTCTATTCCCCCTATTCTTAACCCCCTATCCTCACCTTCAGCTTCTTAATTCCTGCTTAACACCTTTCAGCAGAAGGCTTGTGGAGTTCTAAACTACATAGAATTAAGTCATCTCCTCCCAATCCTGCTAAATAAGCTCACTTGGACTAAAGCCTCACACTTCTGCCTTAAACCTTCTGGCCCCTCACATGCAGACAGGTAGGGGGAGTGCGAATACCGCTGGATCCAGGAAATTGGTCCCGAAAAGGTTCCATCCAGGATCGCCAGCTACTGAAGTATTCCCAAAGCCCCATTCTGCCTGGTGACAATTAGCCAAAGGTACCATACCCATGCTATAAAGCCGAGAACAACTGGCGCATTTCAATGTCATTGTTGTTAACTCACCCCTCTACTCTGGAATTATTCAATTCCACCACGCAGACTTGAAGACCCTGTGTCCCCTGTCCCAGCCCCCACTCCCATGTCCACGGTCAAGGCTTTCCAAAATTTCTTTCCTTCCCCTTGGGTTCTTGCTTGCTCCCTCAGAGGGACACCTCGTGTGTGTGCGTGCGTGCGTGCCTGTGTGTGTGTGTGTGTGTGTGTGTGTGTGTTCGCGAGCGCGTGCACGCGCGCGTCCCTTTCCTTGTTGGAGTGCTGGAGGAAGAGAAAAGACTGGAGTGTGCATATGTGATAGGATGATGGAGGTTAGTGCAACCGGGGAAGGGAACTAGGGTTCCAGTGCCTGAGGTTCAGGGTCGCTCCTCGCTACGGGGTGTTTTTGGCAAAAGAGGAGGTGGATGCCAGAAGGGAAGCATTTTGTCTTTCCCAGTGTGTGACAGGATTGAAGTGTGGGTGTCTTCAGGAGGGTCAAGGGGTGCGGGAATCAGAGGGGATAGAAGTGGTTGGGTGTCCGGAGGGAGGGCTGCAAGTGAGCCAGGGGGCGGGGGCGGGGGCGGGGAATCGGCGCGCATATGTAAAGGTGCAGCCCGAGTGTGAGGGTCTGGGTGCGCGCGCGCGGTGTCTGGACGGGTGCGCGCGCGCGCCGCTGCCCGCTTGCTTGCCTGCTAAAGGCTGTTCGGTGGGTTTGACCGGCGAGCGGGCACCAAGAAGCTAGATCCCAGATAACTAGAGACCATCGCGGAAACTGCGGAGTGAATCGGAACGCGGTGGACCCTCTACAGGACCTGAGGCTCCAGAGGTGGGTGAATTTCAAGCCCTGGCAGCGCGAGCTGCAAGGAAAGGCGCGCTGCTTCTTCTTGGCTGGGCTTGGCACAGTGTATGTGTGCGCGCTTGGAGGGAAGCAGGTAGCTTATTATTTTTAGTTGGAGTCATGTTGGTTTGGGGGCCGTTAAGTAAACGAAGTGAACATGTTGGCTAACCTCCACCCCAAAGAACACACAAACACACACACGCACACGCGCACACACACACACACACACACACACACACACACACACACACCACCCACTTGATCCCTTGTCCTCGAGGACCGAAAGAATCCGGGTGTCCTTAACATCCCTGCCCCTGGGGCAGGCTAGGCATCCATCAGGGAAAGAGTCCTGGTCTGTGGCACAGTGTGCTGTCAGGGCTGCTGCCTTGGGCGGCTTTGTGTTCTGTGCCCTACTCTCAGGCACTGTGTGTGGACTTGAATGTGGGGTTTCAGGCGGTGGCCGGCCAACTGCTCAGAGACTGCTGGCACTCAGCAAGACATGCAATATGGGTGGAAGAGCCTGTGGGTAACTCTGAGAGCCCAACGAAGCCAGGCGAACATTAGCAGCGACTCTTTGCAAGGTTCCTAAATGTTGAGTTTATTTCTGCCTGGGTGTACAGGATCCTATAGCTGGCCTGGGCAGGTGGGGGTGGGGGGCTATGCCCGGGCCACAGCTCAAAGCAACAGAACTATGGAGTCACTCTGACTGTAGCGAATGGGTCTTTGATGCCCCAGTGCGATAGCCCTCGAGGCCTGAACTAGTCATCTCTTCCTCTTGCTCACCCCACTGCACATTCGGATCTAGCGAGGCCGGAGAAAACTCCAGCAGCCTACCCCTTGTGGGACGGGAGTGCGCGGAGAAATGTGTGCGCAGCGGGACTGAAGGCCCCCGCGACATCGTGCACAGTACCCCGCCCCCGCCCCCGCCCCCGCCCGCCTGTGAGGCTGCTGCTCGGGCCGGGTACCCAGGAGGGGGCTGCGCGCCGGCTCTGGGCACCGGGATGCGGCAAAACATTGCGGTACACGCCAGCGGCCCCTCAAACTGCTTCGCCTCCGAGCTCGAGATAGCGCTCTGGGGGCAACAACGGTCGGTCTTTCCACTGTTCTCCCCCACCCCACCTCCACCTTGGCCCTCAGGCAGGGAGGGGGCAGCTAAGGTTTCCTATATCTTCTGTTGAGGTGCCACATCGACTTGCTGACCCCTTTGGCAGCGGTTTGCACTCCGCAGGCTCGCTTTCTCCTCTTGGGCATGGAGCGCTAGGAGCGGCACTCTGGTGGATGCTGGGTCTATGGTAGGACAAGGTTTGTGCAGTTCTGGGCAGCCTTGGGAGCTGGACGTCTTGCTAGGCACCACCAAGTGATGGGAAAAAAGGAAAGCCAAATCCGACCCTTTTGGAAGCCTGAGTTTGGGGTTCCCAACCCATACTTTATAAGGTTTTCTTTCCCGGTTTGTATTTTTGCTGTTGTCACGATTTTTAGAATATATTAGTGGTATCTCTTTTCCCTACAGTTACTTTTATTTTCTAACCTCGTTTTTCACAGTTCTCCAGCTCTCAATAACTATTGTCCTTTCGGTGCCTGAGTGCCTGTTTGCTTCTCCTTGGTGGGCTGACACTTCCTCTGCCTTGCTTCTTTGCTCCAGCTGCTCTTGGCTTTCTCTGTTTGTCTGGAACTGCATTTGGGACCTTCCTCGCTTGTCCTTGCGCCTCCCCCACCCCCCTTGCTACTTAAAGTAGAAATGACTGAGAGGGCAGCTCTTCATGCATTGTCACATCTGTTGTGCTTCTCCTTCTTGTTTTTTTGAGGGTTTCTGGTTATTTGAATTTTGTCTTGTGTTTGTCTTGATTTTTGTGTTTTGTTTGTTTTTACTTTGGTTGCATTTTGATTTCTTTGTTTTTGCGTGGGGGTGGTTAGGAAGAAGAAATGACTCAACTGAACCAAAATAGCTGTTGAAAGCTACATTAACACAAGGCAAAAAAGACCAAGTGAAATTTTGATTTTACAATTGAAGTTGTTTTGGGTGATGTCATGCTTAAAAATATATGACATTTTTTTTGCAACGACAGTCATGCTATAACAGTGAATAGGGGAAATGCCTACATATATGGCAGTCAAATAGCATCCCAGTGATACCGGCTATATTCTGAACCAAGATGCTTAAAATGTAAACCTTCCTGTGTCTTGGCTAATGGATTTTCTACCTTGAGACGCATTTGGTTTTACCACTAGCTGATTCCTTGTGAAGGGAAAAAAAGGGGAAAAAGGAGTTTCTGTGTGACACATTTTTTCCTTGCACCATTTTCTCATTGTTTTTCTGAGTATTTTATTTATTTAATTAATGTTCAGTAGTGACCTTATGAAAACTGCATCCAGGTTCCTCCCATTCACTATTGGAAAGATTCATAAGCCTAAAATTGCATCAATAAAATACATAGTGTTTGTGTTCCATTAATTCCTCTCCATGAGGCAAAACAGTCTCTCTCTCTCTCTCTCTCTCTCTCTCTCTCTCTCTCTCTCTCTCTCTCTCTCTCTCTCTCTCTCTCTCTCTCTCTCTCTCCCTCCCTCCCTCCCTCCCTCCCTCCCTCTCTCTCATGTGTGTGTGTTTTGTTTGCTTGTGTGTGTGTGTGTCTGTGTGCGCACAGGTTTTTAAGCGGTTGCTTCGAAGGGTTAATTTTTTTGAGTCATTAAACTCTTCCAAGAAGTAATTCTTCATTTGTTTACAGGCAGGGGCATGGGGTTATCTTTTAGGGAGGGTGTTTGGGAACTGAAAGCCTTATGTGGAATTGAAATATGTAGAATCGAATTTATCTGCTTCTGCAGATAAAGCTGCTCCAGGACTGTAACATGTGGACTCCTCTTCCTCAGCAGTGACAGGCTGTGACCAAAGTGAAGGTGAATTTCAACCAAGGGGTCAGTGGGGACTGGGTTCAAACTGAGAAATGAAAAACAGATGAAGGCCAGACAGGCAGAAAAGCCTTTTCTAGTGGGTGGAAATACTGCCTGGAAATCAGTTGAGCAGTGCAAGAATACGCAGGTCCCTTTTCTGCTTCCAAGGACCTAAAGACAAAAAGCTTTTTAACCCCATTTGGGAAATGACTGACAGCAAAGTAGGTGTTGTTTATTAATCTGACAGTTTTTAGAGCCCCATAGGATCACTTGTGCTTTTGAAAACAGATTACAGGAACAAACTGATTCATGGCAACATGCTTACCTAAGTGCCAAAGCTCAGGCGAATTTCTTTTCAGGGCACATTTCATGTACTTCCTTTAACTGTCTTCTTTAAAGGAACCCAGTCCTCCCACTGCCATCCTCGGCTGAAATCTGAGTTCAGTTATGGTCTCTATCCAGCCTCTGTATCTAGCAGAAGCCTAGAGAATAGATTTCCACCAGTTGTGGTATGTTTGTGGTGTAGAGGACATGAATTAATGGATCCGATAGGTATGTGCATTTTCGTTCAAATAGCAAGCTTAAGGGTAAAATTTGGTGGTTTAAGTTAAAAATTGAAATTAATGTGAAGTGTGGTTTGAAATCTCCTTTCTTACCTTACTGTTTGTCATTTAGTCTACACATGTACATTTTGTACAAATTATAGATATGAAGAATGTGACATTTTTGTGGTTACTGTTGTTCAGTGGAGTGCAAATCTGACTGCCTTAAGAAGTACAATGCTAGAGATTGTAGCCTGTATTCACAATAATATAATTTAAGCACAAATATTTCTTTTCAAAGAATGAACACTGAAAAACTGTTTTCTTTTTATTTTTTAGATTATTTCTCTTTATTCAGAAGCATAGAGTTGTTTGCTGATTGCAAGAAGATGTTTCTTTGTCTCTTTGCGATTGTGTCAGGCCTGATTTCTTCAACAAATGCAGATTCTGACATATCAGTGGAAATTTGCAATGTGTGCTCCTGCGTGTCAGTTGAGAATGTGCTCTATGTCAACTGTGAGAAGGTTTCAGTCTACAGGCCAAACCAATTGAAACCCCCTTGGTCTAATTTTTATCACCTCAATTTCCAAAACAATTTCTTAAATATCCTCTATCCAAATACATTCGTGAATTTTTCTCATGCAGTGTCTCTGCATCTGGGAAATAATAAACTGCAGAACATTGAGGGAGGAGCCTTTCTCGGGCTCAATGCATTAAAGCAGTTGCACTTGAACAACAATGAATTAAAGATTCTCCGAGCTGACACTTTCCTTGGCATAGAGAACTTGGAGTATCTCCAGGCTGACTACAATTTAGTCAAGTATATTGAACGAGGAGCCTTCAATAAGCTCCACAAACTGAAAGTTCTCATTCTTAATGACAATCTGATTTCATTTCTTCCTGATAATATTTTTCGATTCGCATCTTTAACCCATCTGGATATACGAGGAAACAGAATCCAGAAACTCCCCTATATTGGAGTTCTGGAACACATTGGCCGGGTCGTTGAATTGCAGCTGGAAGATAACCCTTGGAACTGTAGCTGCGATTTATTGCCTCTAAAGGCTTGGTTGGAGAATATGCCATATAACATTTACATAGGAGAAGCTATCTGTGAAACTCCCAGTGACTTATATGGAAGGCTTTTAAAGGAAACCAACAAGCAGGAATTGTGTCCCATGGGCACAGGGAGTGATTTTGACGTTCGCATTCTGCCTCCATCTCAACTGGAAAATGGCTACACCACTCCCACTGGTCACACTACTCAAACAACCTTGCACAGATTAGTGACCAAACCACCAAAAACAACAAATCCTTCCAAAATCTCTGGAATAGTGGCAGGCAAAGCCCTCTCCAACCGAAATCTCAGTCAAATTGTGTCTTACCAAACTAGAGTGCCTCCTCTTACACCTTGTCCGGCACCTTGCTTTTGCAAAACACATCCTTCTGATTTGGGACTGAGTGTGAATTGCCAAGAGAAAAATATACAGTCCATGTCTGAACTGATACCGAAACCTTTAAATGCCAAGAAGTTGCATGTCAATGGCAATAACATCAAAGATGTGGACATTTCAGACTTTACTGAGTTTGAAGGACTGGATTTGCTCCATTTAGGCAGCAATCAGATTACGGTAATCAAAGGAGAAGTATTCCACAATCTTACCAATCTACGCAGGCTTTATCTCAATGGCAATCAGATCGAAAGGCTGTACCCTGAAATATTTTCAGGCCTTCATAACCTACAGTATCTGTATTTGGAATACAATTTGATTAAGGAAATCTTAGCAGGCACCTTTGACTCCCTGCCCAATTTGCAGCTACTGTACTTGAACAACAATCTCTTAAAGAGCCTGCCAGTTTATGTTTTTTCTGGAGCACCCCTTGCGAGACTGAACCTGAGGAATAACAAATTCATGTATCTACCTGTCAGCGGAGTCCTCGACCAGTTGCAGTCTCTTACACAAATTGATTTGGAGGGCAACCCTTGGGACTGCACTTGTGACTTGGTAGCATTAAAGCTGTGGCTGGAGAAGTTAAATGATGGAATTGTTGTGAAAGAACTGAAATGTGAGACTCCTGTTCAGTTTGCCAACATTGAACTGAAGTCCCTCAAAAATGAAATATTATGTCCTAAACTTTTAAACAAGCCATCTGCACCATTCACAAGCCCTGTACCTGCAATTACATTCACCACTCCATTGGGTCCCATTCGAAGTCCTCCTGGGGGCCCAGTGCCGCTGTCTATTTTAATCTTAAGTATCTTGGTGGTCCTCATTTTAACTGTCTTTGTTGCATTCTGCCTTCTTGTTTTTGTGCTGAGACGCAACAAGAAACCCACAGTGAAGCATGAAGGACTGGGGAACCCTGAGTGTGGCTCCATGCAGCTGCAACTAAGGAAGCATGACCACAAAACTAATAAAAAAGATGGACTGAGCACAGAAGCATTCATTCCACAAACCATAGAACAGATGAGCAAGAGTCACAGCTGTGGCCTGAAAGAGTCTGAAAGTGGGTTCATGTTTTCAGACCCTCCAGGACAGAAGGTCACGTTAAGAAATGCTGGTGACAAAGACAAAGACTTACTGCATGTAGATACCAGGAAGAGACTCAGCACAATTGACGAGCTGGATGAACTGTTCCCTAGCAGAGATTCCAATGTGTTTCTTCAGAATTTTCTTGAAAGCAAAAAGGAGTATAACAGCATTGGTGTCAGTGGCTTTGAAATTCGCTATCCAGAAAAACAACAAGATAAAAAAAGCAAGAAGTCACTGATAGGTGGTAACCACAGTAAAATTGTTGTGGAACAAAGGAAGAGTGAGTATTTTGAACTGAAGGCAAAACTTCAGAGTTCTCCTGACTATCTGCAGGTCCTTGAGGAGCAAACAGCTTTGAACAAGATATAGGTCATGTAATCCAACTACATACAGAGGACATTATTTAATGATGAAAGTGCCTTTTGTTGACTTCTAACTTCCAAATACTATATTATCATTAGGCATAGAGACAGGTGTTTCCAAGGGTATCTCATTAACTGTAGCCGTAATGATGTGTCAAGTAGAAGAGAATATCCTTAATAGATTTTACTACATAAAACCTATACTGTGGAGTCCTGTGGGGATACTGCAAACTCTATTGCCAAAGGGATGCTTTATAAACAAAACACACTGAATTTAACCTCAAGAGGCAAATCAGTTTTGTACTCTGATACAAAACCTCCATCTCTTTGTGAATTTGTAAAGCAAATTCAAGAAAACTGGTACCAGTGTTTGTATCTCAGCTGCGTCCTTCATCTTGCACGTAGATTAAGTTGGTGAAACTGGAATAACCCTTTTGATTTGTGGCATTGTAACAACTCTGTGTAAAGATTACCTGAAAAGTGTAAAAAACAAATAAGCATGCAAAGAGAGAACATTTGATAGTATTTGTAAATTGGTAAAATTTATGGCCTGCATCTTGAAACCACTGGATTTATAATGTTAAATTGTGCAAATACTTGTTTAAAATATACCATGCATTACATAACTATAAAATTTGAACACTTTAAGTATTACCTGTCTATACATCAAAACTTAAAGGAAAAAATTCAATGTGAGTTACATAGCATTTGTGGTGATATAGAGAAAAAATGTTTATCAGAATTAAACCTGGCTTAAATTAAACTAGAGTTTGTTCTCAGTTGTGTCAAATACCCACAATCCTTAAAGGTTGTCCCAAATTAGCAAAGTGCTTACCGTGTGAGCGCACCCAAAGCTATTTTTGTAACATAATTCATATTTATGAAGTACTTTGTATACTAAATAGGAAAACATGTACTCCCTAATATGTATTTAATATGCCTGACTTATTTTCCTGATCACGGCAAATTTGTCAGTAAGTATAAATTTAGATAAGAAAAAAGTACTAAAGTGAAACTGAAGCTAATGTGTACAGAAATATTTTGAACTCTGTGATCAGGTATAATTTAAAAGCAAAAAAAATACAAAAAGCCCCACAAAATTAAAAAAAAAATCTGTGCTATTCTTGTGAATTTAGCGTATTATCTTCAGATTTGTTGCCAGCTGTGCATTTTAAAATAGGTTCCTTAGTTTTACAGTATTGTGTCTGGGGCAGTTGTTATTTGCCATCAATTGTCTTGCTTTTCAGGATTCTATGAGCTTAGTTCAAATAGTTTTAATTACAATATATAACAAATTAATGACTAATGTTAATAATATCATGTATGCATCAGTATCCTGTTCTTCATCATTCTGACTACTATCAGATAATCTAGTAGAACTGTAAACATCATGGCAGTCTTGGCTACCAAAGCCACACTGAAAATGCTTTTACTGGTCTCAGATGAATTCATGATCTACAACCACAACTGATATGCCCCTGTGTTTGCGTATGCTGTTAAGTTCTAAGTCAAAATTGGTCAAATGAATGAAGTATTTGATAATGGGTTGAGATCTGAAGATATTTAGGATCTCTGATTAGCAAATCAATATTCAGAATCTCATTGCCTTCTTGGCCAGCTGTTTGTGTGTGTGTGTGTGTGTGTGTGTGTGTGTGTGTGTGGTGTGATGAATTACAGTATTATTAAGTAAAGTAGCTAATAAGGCAAACAGACATTCTTTATGAATTTCAAGTTGCAGATATTTTGATGCAGCTTCCAAAAGGATATTACAGTTAAGTAGTAACAGCAATCCTTTTATTAAATACTAATTTCAGTATTTTATGTGTTTGTTCCAAATTTTTAAGGAATATTTGACATTATTACAGGAGTGTGTACATATGTGTGTGTATATGTGTGTGTGTGTGTGCGCGCACACATGTGTGTTTGGGTATATATTCATATATAGATAGATAGATAGATAGATAGATAGATTTGGAGATTTTTTAGATAGCAAATAAAATCTCCCTATGTATGTGCTGGTGCTCTTAAAACTTTAATGTGTAATTTTCTGTTCCATGACAATGTCTGTGAAAACTTTATATGACTATAAATACATCCAAACAAATAATTGCTTTCTGATCTTGAAAGAAAAGAAGTGTGTTCAAATGCTAATTTTCATCTGCAGTTTCATAAGGACATTTAATATGCCATTACCATGCATGCATGCATCCATGGATTAAAGGGCTCCTAATGCACACTGACAGGATAAAGATGCAAAGGCTTACGACAAAGTGTTTTTGTTTATCCCATCATTAAAGTATGGATTCAGAAATATTAAATGGACACTTACAGGAGGAACCAGAAAGCTCCATGCATAAGCTGGGGCTAATAGGTTGTTGGGATGATGTTTTTTATTCAGTGTGGTGATGTTTGGAAGATTATTCGAGGTTTCTGCAAAATTGTCAGCGGCAAGAGTACCTGCCACCATCTCAAAGCTTGCTGTAGTATATTGGCTACTCACACTTTACTGCTGAAAGCTATAAATGCTCAAAAAATTTTAAGAAAAATTAATTTAACTATATGTGCTTATTTGGTGGTTCTAATTGTAAATGGAAGTAACAAATTCTTGGTTAAGGCTAATATACTTTCCTTAACTAAAGTCATTGTGCCTACATTATACAGTGTATGCTATTTTGCACCTGTCTTTCATTAGTTCTTCTTGTATCTTTTATGATACATAGTTAGGTATAAATTCTGAGTTGAGTACATGAGCAGTTTAAATACTGTATCTGCGTTTTGTTGGCTTCAGCTATAATCTTGACGTTAGTTTAACCCCTTGAGATATGATATGCACATGGTAAAACATTTTTAGTTGTATTTGATTCAAATATTAAAAAGCCAAGAAGTGATTATCTCTAATGTGGTATGAGACATCATTGCCTTCTTGGCATTATATTCCTGTGTATGGACTGTGTTAGAACAGTTGCAGAGAAAACTAGATCTTATGAAATCAGTGAAGGGGTGAGATAATATATTGTGTCCATGTAATATAAATCAAGTTTTAAATTATTTTTTTATGAAATCAATAAAATGATTCAATTCTTTAAAAGTAAATCTTTGTGTAATTTTATGAGAAAGCAGCTATTAAAGTACAGTGATTCAAATATATAAGGCAATTTATATCTCATACTTAGTTTTTCATTCTAAATAACAGTAGAAACAAATATATTAATTAGAAAGTTATTAAAGACCATTACCATTAATTGCTTTTCAAAAACATTTAGTTTTGTACGCCATAAGGTCGCATAAATATTAAATGGCATGGCCTCATGAGTAATGTCATAGGCATTTCAGAAATATCAAAGTCAACCTAGAAATGTATGGCGATAATATTAATCTACAATTACATTTGCATGACTTACATGGATAATATATGAAATGAGCACAGTGAGCTTTTCATTTATGTTTCTTTTTTTTCTTTTTCAGTTTTGTTGTCATCGTTGCATCCAAAGAGTTAGGGAGAAAATATATTAAGAATGTATTTATAGTTACTATTTTGAAATAAAGTAGAGAATATGTATTATATTGTTTTACCCTGTTTTGATTATTTCTATTTTAGAATAATTAATACAAAACCAAGTAATGCTATGAAATCTAATGTAAATCACAGCAAAAAACAACTCTAATGAATTTTGTTTGCTTTGAATTACACCAAGATATTAGATTTTATTAAATACCATTTTTCTGGAACCATCAATAAAATTGTTTGGTACAGTGTTATTTCTGAAACCACCTCTTGTTAAATATATTTATCTTTTCATTGTTTTTCAGAAAAAGTAAAACAGTAGCCAAACTGATTATATCACTCAAATTTGAGGGTAATATATATAGCTTTATAATACTGTTTACACTAAATTTAATTGTTAAGCCTCTGTTAAAAGATGTTTTCCTAACAAGCACAGTTGCAATCTGTATTTCTTTGTACTGGCATTCCCTTAGAGAAGAGTTGTCAGACAGTGTCAAAATCAACATACTTTGATCCTTTCGTATTCTCTCCATTTAAAATTCAACATAACTTCAAGTAGTCAAATATTAGTATTCAATCTGAGCTATTAACACAAATAAATTCACAGAAGCTTCAGAACCTCTACATTCTACTGCAAGCTTGACTGGTTTCTAGTTGCTTACACTTAATGTAGTAAATGACTATTCTTAAGTTAGCTTCTTCTAAAGTAACCAAAAATATCAGTCAACCACTTGATGCATTTTCTGTGGTTGAAAAAAATTGAACCAATTGCATTATAGTTCTACTGAGAGCAGAAAAATATTCAAAAAGCTGCATTTCCGATAAGGTGGTTTGAGATCATGTGTCTATAAGCTAACTGAAGCAAAGGAAGTGCACAGAATTATAAGTTATGATTTCTGTGGCTTTACAACTATACATAAATTGTGCTGAAAGTTGGCACGATATAGAGCAAGCACAAGGCAGTTGTTCTCAGCCACTGCATTATGTAGACAAGTGGCATCAAATCAAGGGCCATACTCATGTTCAGTGTTCATTCAATTACTTAACTAGTCAGACTAACTATTGGTGGTGTCCCTTACTAGGAATAATTACAAGTGTAAGTCACAAGTATTGTCTCTCAATTGCAGATTTCTAGGGGATTTGTCTTTTGCTAAATTAAAACCAAATGGGAGGTCAAATGAACCTAAATAACTTTGTGGCTTTTTAAAAATAAAAACTGCCTTAGTATACATTTAATTTAATTTTATTGTATAATTTTCTTTATTCTATTTAGTTTCCAGTGATTTATAGGATAGCATTGGAGAAGGAAAAAGTAAAGAAAGTGTTTCTACTATCTCCTATATGAAATACTATAATATTCTAAAAGTTTGTAAAACTTTTTAATTTGTTGTTCTTATATCTACACAGAGGAAATGCTTTCAAGCACTAGGGTAATTGGATACTTTGGGTCCAGAAAATACGACACTGGCAATATGAAAGATTTGAACTCCGCAGTGCTTGGTAATTACAAGTTAGATTTGCAATAGAACCAAGAACCAAGAAGTAGCAAGTCAATCTTCCATGGTAGTTTACTTTTGTGGGTATTGCCTGCTCTTAAACACAAATCGCTTTAAAAATTCGTGAGGGAAGTCCTTAGAGAGCTAATGAGAGTATGTAATAAATAGGTATCTACCTTTATTTTTAAATAGCCTATAGAGAGACAAGACAGTGTTTTAAAGTAATTGGACAATATATTTCTCTCAGTTGGCAACTCAAAAGTACATCATGTCAGATACTGTTGACAAACTTCTAAGGAAGCCATGTTGTGCAATGGATATTAATTATGGTAATGATTAACAATCACATTGAGAATTATCCTCCCTATTAAGCAATGGCAATGTATATTTCCATCATCGTTTTATGTAAACTGAATCATTGTGCTAAAATTCTGGAGTTGGTATGGAGTAACTTTAATGCTGTTTTCATGAATAAAAGTCTTTTCTTATAGGTCATATGTGTAGCCATTCAGTGTTTTTATTAGTTTGATATTGGCAACACTCAAGTACAAAGGGAAGTTCAAATAATTTGCTATTTACTTGATATTAATTTACATAAGTAGGGAAGTTATACCTGTACATATATGCATGTACACAGAAATACACACAAACATTGAATGATACACAAATATGTATATCTACTCATTGAGTATTGAAATGCTCCTGTCTCAGTTAAAGTTTGCAAATGACAGCTACTTCATCCCCAGTGAAAATCCCATCCTGAGTGAGAACCTTGATTTTATGCTAAATTTGTACATAAACACTGTGTAGTGTGTAGTAGTAATTGTATTGAGCTTATGCCCTGTAACTTCCTTGGATTTCAGTCGCGTAACTGTCCAGTGATTTGATTTTTGATTTTCTACATTGGTTGAATTTCTCATTTAGTATGTCATTTGTGTGCTTACTAAGTGAATACAATGTGCTATTCACAAAACATCAGTCATGGTGCAAACCAAGTCTGCTGCAACCTTGTATAAACATGCTCAGAGAAGCATGTAAAGACTATGTATATAGAAGCACCTATATACAAAATAAGGACTCCCATGGTGAGATTCGTGATTAGTAATTCTAGAACATGAAAAACTACTTCAAAAGAAGGACCATTTGGTGAGTAGAGATTAGGTAGGATAATAAGATTAAAGGAGTATTCACAGAAACAAATATTTATCAGAGCTCAAAACCTAATTGCTGAAAAGTATCCATGGTAAAAAAATATCAAATATTAATCTGATTTTTTCATACTTTAACTGTTATTTCTTTCTTTTAAAATTATATTATATCAATTAAGTGCCCATACAGCCATCATAAACATATTTTTCAGATAAATTGGTCAAATAAAACATATTCCTTTGACCAATAATTATTTTTGTTGATTTGTGTTACAGATTATTTTTGAGCCTTCTGATTTGATATTACCAGTTAAATAAAGACAAGCAATATTTTTAATAGAAGTAGTAGACAAAACATACATGTTATACCTAAAACATTTATTTGGAAAATAGATTATCATAAGCATTTATGTTTCAATGTTGTAGTAAACTATTGTTAGGTCTTCTGGTTTGTTTTCAGAAATTTTGCTTCAGTGCCTATTTCAGAAGCCATTTCCGCATGAAGCCCCAGGAAATCATGTATCTGCCATGGATCCCTTTGCTCCATAGCAGGATATGCCCGGTTTGCCAAGTCCTACCTGCTGCAGATGATTCTCTTCAGCTGTTATGAACAGCCAGCACTATCTATGGCACAGACTAGCTTCACAAGATTTTTTCTAGTTCAATACACAGGCAACTACAGGGTTCTGGAGCCAAGCATGTATTTACTGGCATAAGATTATGATACTCAAGAGCATTTTGGTTTTGTGTATTGTTCACGCTGAATCCTTGTTTTGGTTCCCCAGTTATCCTCCAGCACACAGGAACTGCTTGTTATGTTATTCAATACTATTCTTCATAGTGCAAACTACTCTCCACTCTGGAAAATCACACATATTTATAGAGAAAATCTTCACACTTTGCATTACCAGTTTCCTCCTGTAATTTCTAGAAATATAAAAAAATGTATGCAGTAGGTCTTGACAATATAAAAAATAATTTTAATAAGACAGAGATATCAGCACAAAAGTCAACTGTTGCATGATGTTTTTTGTGCTTCAGATTTGCTTGCAATGTCATTTTAGGTTGGAAACCAGAATCTAAACAATCACTTTTTACTAAGGAACCCCCTACTCTAGCTACAGAAGGGTATTATTGCTGACATGTTGGTAAGGTTGCAGATGAGTTGCCACAAACATGGCTATTATTTTCTCCTCATACTCAGTACTTCAGAAAATATTCATTTTTCTCATGCTTGGTACAGCTGCTGAAATGCTGCTGCATCAATTCTCATCATGAAAATTCACTAAGCCTTATTTTCAGTATGTAATGAAGCAGTTACACAGAAATGTGTATTGGGAACTGGATAAAACCATCATGATTAAGAACTAAACCAATGTATTCTTAAGGAAAGAATGTTTTAAGAGATTCTAATGGAAGCATTTAATTAAGATTATATCCATGCCCACCAATCACCCTTTGAATTTATCAAGTTTTTTTTCACAGACTTCATTGTGTGTATCAAAAAGAGGTAAGGCTTAGCCTATAGGCAGCATTTTCTCGGTTACTATTTCCAGATGCCTAGACCATGCCACAAAGTCAACTGTGTGAACAAAGGCTTGAGTATTTAATCCTAAATGCATATGTGATTTCAGATGGACCTTTGAAGAGAAATAAGTTGAAAAAGCTTAGCCTTTCAAATGACTACCCTAAATGGTCTTTATCAGAATAAGGGTAGACCAAGAAAATTTTGCTGACTAGACATCTTCCCTGCTTAAGGACCATCAATGGAAGATGGAGTAACATATATATCAGATAAATCAGATGAATTTTCCAAATCAGATTATTTCGTCCCTATCATTTCAAGAAAGGCTTGAAAGAGAGCATGACTTACCCAAGGTCACATAATCTATCATTGCCACCCTGGTCCATGATGTCCTGGAACACAGGATAATACTTTTATTCTACAGTTTTGTTTTATTTAGAAGTTCCAGAAAATCTAGGAGAATCACTGAAGAACACCTGTAATTTTCATAAGGTTCCACAGCACCTTGCAAGCTTGGACTTCTTTACCTCTGTGTCCAAGGTGAGACTTGTCCAGTAAAGAAAAATGAAATTTATTAAAAGGAACTATTCAAATAAAGTCTTATACTCAATGATCTTGCAGGACATATTTAAGGATTTTCTAGAGTATGCATGGATACAATTTAAGTCAAAATTATCAAGCAAAATTTATTCTGAACATTCAAAACTTGATCTATTTCAGTTTATTAGTAAACAGTATCTTCTATGCACTGTGATTGCAAATCAATAATCACCAAATTCTATTTATATATTAAGCATCATGTTTGTTAGAGGAAGAATGCAATAACACCTCCAATTGTCAATGCTTTTGTTTTGAGTGGCAGCATTTTACAAAGGAAAACCAGCTTCCTCTGTTGACTGCACTGAAGATGGCATTATAGAATCAATATCATAGGATGTGCTTGAATTTGTCTCAATCCAAACATTCAATTTTTATCTATACCTTGAGCTGATAAATGAAGCACATAGTTTGGTAACACTGTATCCTCTTCAATAATTGCAGTTAGATCAAGTTATTTTTAATTTGCCCTTAACTGTTTGCAGTTGTAATTTATGCCAGTGATTTACAGTCACTGTAGTTCAACCTGTAGATCAACAGAAAACACTAAGAACAAGTGAAAATTATCTTAACTATAAAATATACTCATTAGTATTCATTGCAACTTTATTCTACTAAGACAGAAAGTTATCTTTAAAAGAAGAGGCAAAAATAACTTTTCAGATCTCAAGGGTTTTGACTCTTCAGTCTTTCTAAGTTTTTGTAAGATTTTGGAAGCATACTATGATGGCTGTAAATGCAGTTATGAATTTATTTTGTTCAATACTATTAATGAGAAGCTCATCAAACATGACTACTCTGTAGTCCCTGGGCCTTTTAATTATAAAAACTGTTGCTTCAGGTACTGGTAACTCGTTCAAAATTAACAGCTTTATACTTTGAACTGTTTCACTTCAAATAGTTACAGTGTTAAATGAGTAAATAACCTTTGCTTAATTAATTTTGCATTAAGTTTAAGAAAGATAGAAAGAAATAAAAATACTTCTCTTGATTCAGCACTGACATGCTTAAATGTTGATGAGGGCAGGATGTATTGACCTTTACCTTTGTTCCCCTAACATGGCATTTAGCCCTGATGCTACTACCACTACATCTGCACTGGGAATCCTGCAATATCTGACTCAAACACCTTCATGTACTTGCATTCATTATAACTTTTTATGTTTAAAGTTGTTTTATTGTTAGTGTGTTTTCCTAATTCACAGTCTGATACGAGATTTATAAGCATTTTTAAGAGACAATGTCAAGAGGTAGAAAAGTAGATGACATTAATTGAATAGATGATAATATTTCAAGCATATGACAAACTAAGCCTTTCTTAGTATCCTATAATATTATCAAGCTGGTATAGCTCAGATCAGTAGTGAGAGCGACTTAAGTCTACTCTCAAGGAGTCCATGTGAGATTCTTTTAAGAACTTTTCCTTATTTCAATGTAATTCAGTATCAGTGGAGCAAAGAAGGCTCAGATATTTAAGAGAAGTTCTTATCATTTGTTGAAGACTAGAGATAGAGGGGTATATGAGGTTAATGGAACATTATGAGCTATGGCACCCATGTGGTGAGGAAAGCAGGAGTTACATCACTATTTGTAGACATTTCCGCAAAGTACCAGAGAGCAAATATTGGAGATTTTCACCATCCATGTGAACCAAGTAACTGACTATGGTCTTATAGAACAACAACAACAAAAAGTCACACAACAAATAAACATATTGATGTTGCTGTGTTTCTGATAAAATACTTATTGACAAGAATGAGATTGTGAACAGATTTGGCATTTAGGCCAAGATCTGAAGAGCCTGGTATGAGTAGAACTTTACTGTACATTAGGAAGTCAATGGGAGTTTTCAAAAGCAATGACATCATAAATCTTATTAAAGACAAACTATTACCTGGTATATGGAAGATCAGCTAAAAGGAATGGAGAGCAGAGTTTAAATGGGGAACAGTAACTCACTCTACTGTAGATTAAACTTCCATGGAACTCATGGAGACCCAGCTACATCTGTCTTGTGAGTAAATGCTGGAACTAAAAGTATGTACTACCATGGCCAGTTGTGAGCTATACAGACTATGCAGAATTAGTCAATAAACTGATGACAGTAACTTTGCTTTCCTAAGTTTATAAAGACACTTTTCATTGTGATATCTAGGGGACAGTGTTGTAGAAGGGGACAATAGAACCAGAAAGCAAATCTTGGAGATTTATTGTTTACTAATTTA